GTGTGAACGCAGTGGGGCAGTGATACACGGGCGTACGGAGTACAGCCACTAGAAAAGCTGAAGAATGTCAGTATATCCACTTCAAAGTGTCCAGTGACACATGACGCATCATTAGACCCGTGTCATCGGTACGTTCAACACTTCTCTAACAATGTGTCTGTAGCAACACTTGTTTATTACACTCACTAATCCAGTGAATTACTGTGTAATTAATACTTCTGTACGCACTACTTCATACTTGAACATGTTCTGCTTTGATACTGTTTTATAAATTATATAACACGTTGTTAATACAAAGACAAGTGTTGTACTAAGTTTGCTGTTCTTTTGTTCAAATATAAGCGTCAAAGAAATTTGGAAATGTTCAATATGTTTAAAAATCAAAATAAATTGACGATTACATTGAACCAGTGTACTTTGGTTTCTAAGCGCAGTATACGCACCACCAAACAGTCGACGACACCACTGTGTGAATTAACTCTGACATAGATCATGTGTAATAAGGACTTGCATATTTTAGATCTCAATGACCTGAAACTGTAAATGTGAGGAGCGTAATTAAATGTACGTTAAAACAAGCAGACAAAAGTATACTTTTAAAATAAAAGGCCGACATTTCCCCACCACCTTCATGTCAGAGGTTTAGTCATCTTCTGGTAGACGTCTTGGTCAAACCTATAAGATGAACTCTGATGACCCCGTCGCTGAAGGACTTCAACAGTGAATGTTGGTAGTTTTTGACATGAGTGTTTTTCTGGACTGTAATCAATAGAAGTAAACTGAGGAAGTCTCTTGGATGAGAGACGAAACGTTTCTATATTTTTTTGCTTTGTTTTGTTGTTTTTCTGAATGTCCAGAGGACCAGATTGAACTTTTTTGGATTTTTCTACCTGGATTATTGAGCAGCATCAGGAAATAGAAGTAAACCTTAATGTTTTTGGTGCAGGATATTTAAGTGAGTAGGAGTTAGACTATGTAGAAGAACAGAGGGAGGTTTTTTGTTTGTGAGGCGTCTGTGGCTCAGTGGTTAGAGCAGTTGTCCTCCAGTGGGAGAGTTGGGGGTTCGTTTCCACCAGCAGTCACATGCTGAAGTGTCCCTGAGCAAGACACTGAACCCCTCGTTGCCTCCGATGTGTGTCCCATCAGTGTCTGAATGTGATAAAGCTCTGATCAGTCATGTAGAGATCTAGTATAGAGCTGTATGAATGGATATATGAGGCACAGATTGTTGTAAAGAGCTCTGAGTGTCGATCAGACAGAAAGGAGCTGGATGAGCACAGTCCATTTACCATTTGTGTTTTTTGGCTGTGTGAAGCAGTGCAGACAGACAGGTCCTGGAGAGAGGAGGGAGCAGCACCCTCGGGTGTAACGGTGGAGCCAGGACGTGGCAAACGGTGGCCTTGACTAACAGATTTCTGGGGGTTCTCTCCCTGAACATTTTGAATGAAGGACATGTGATTTCTACATTTTGGTGTATTTTAACGGGTTATTAAACATCTACGTTTGCTTACATTTGTAAACACTTGCATTACTTGACGGCTCCGAGCCGACTCTACTCTGCTGTCCGACTCCACATGAAACCTGCAGGCACTCACCCCCACCACTCTCTTAGGGTGGGGACTTTATTTTTTAAGGGTAGAGGTGGAAATGCTTCACTGGACGGGGCAGATGATCCTTTGTGATATTGAGAAGTCCTGTTGTGTTTAAAATGAGTGTTTATGTAATTATTATCAGTTTACATATTCAATATAAGTTATTTGTTCAAGGAAGTCATGTTTGTTCATAACTTTATCATTAGTAGTTCTGAGAGTTACCAGATCCAAGCAAACAGTTACAGGAACGCACCCTGTCAAAATAAGAGCGTTCCTGTTCCGGCAGGATGGGCTCAAATGAAGCACTTCCTGTTTGTAGGTGTTGTGAATGAGAATCAGCTGCTACCACCCCAACGCTCAGTGTCTGTGACACTCGCAGGTGTCACGGTCAGCGGCCCCCGCTGCCCCCCCATCTGCCTAAGCCTCTGCTCTTCATATCACAGCCCCTGTTTTAAGATCATTCACGTTTTTTCCTGCCTCAGTTTCTGTTTATTTCATCCTGTTTGGTCCTGCACTGCCTATCACCCATTTTCTGCTCCTGTCACTCTCTCTCTGCAATCTGCACTCATCTGCTGCACCCTGTCTCTGCAATCACCACTCACCTGCCACACCTGTTCAGCTCACTACTTAAGCTCCACTCTCACTCTCCTCAGTGCCAGATTATTGAAAGCCTCACAGCCAGTAAATTATCCAGCATTCGTTCGTTCTAGTCTCTTTGTTTTTGACCACAGCTTCCCTCTTGACTCCTCGCTTTGTCTTTGCCCCTGTCTGGATACCACGCTCTCGGCCTACATGGTACAACCTCGCTCTCCTCTTCGACCACGACTACGGATCATCCTTTTGCCTGTTCACACAGCTCCTGGCTCTCGACCCCTGCTACGTCCCTGGATTCTGTTTCCTGCCCAGCCCTCCAACGTTCTCTGTCTCAGCCCTGCTCCTGCCACAGAAGGTTGGTGACGTGCACACCACTTCTCAGCTCCCAGAACCTTTTTGCAGTCACTAACCTGTCTGTCTTCATAGATTGGACCAGAACTGAGGCTCAGATCCTTCAGACGAACGCCTATAATAAAAATAAAACATTTTATTTTAATATTGTCCTGAGTCAAGTGTTGTGCTGATCCATACAGACTCGTTACAGCAGGGGTACAGCTGTTTCTGGTACAGCTGTTTCTGGTACAGCTGTTTCTGGTACAGCTGTTTCTGTTTGCTAAGGTGGAATAGGTGTGGCAGCCATCTTGAACTGGCACAATAGTGCTGTTTTAAACATTGGATTAAGAATCTTCTTGCATCATAACCCAAGTCCTTGTTTGTTTTCATGTTCAGTAAAAGTCTTTTCTGTGCTTCTCTCGTTCAGTGACCTCAGGTTTGTTTCAGAGACTTTCTGACTTCAAACATTCACACACTCAGCCGTTACCTCATGGATCAATAGCCCTGCTCCTTCTTCTCCCTCCTTTCCTCTGCTAACCATCACTGATGGCTGCTGTCAGCTTATTGAGTCTAATTCTAGCAACACACACACACACACCACACAAGCAGGCATATATACACACACACACACATATACATATACATTTCAAAAGGAGGGACAAAGTGTGCAACATGACTCATTACACTCCTTTTGCCTGTGTGTGTGGGTGTGTGTGTGTGTGTGTGTGGGGGGGGGGGGGGTGTGTGTGTGCGTGCGTGCTTCCCTGTGCAGATAAAAGGGTGAGGTCATTGCAAGCCAATCAGAGAGGATCATTTTAATCCTGATGTGAAATGTAGATTTGTAAACACATTTTAGTGAAAATTACACACATGCGCACACACACTGTATTTCTTTTGTCACTATGACAATGACTTACATTCATTTTTGGAGCCTTACCTTAACCATTCTTTTAATTCCTGATTCGTGCTCAATAATCCAGGTGGAAAAATCCAACAAGATTAAATCAGGTCGTCTGGACGGTTTCTTTTTGTTGAAATGTTTTGTCTTTCATCCAAAGGACTTCATCAGTCTGAGGAGCCACAACAAACTCAGTCTTATAAATACCTTCACATAGTGGGTCAACCAGTTTGATGGTGCTCAGATGGTTTCTGGAGTCCGCCCTCTCCCCCACCAACTTGTTTGAGGCAGTCATGGACAAAGAGACTCAAAACATCCTGATTCATGCTCAGTAGTTCATGGACTCCAGAAACCACATGAGCACCATCGAATGGCTTGACCCACTATGTAAGGTGCTATTTACAAGACTGAGTTTGTTGTGACTCCTCAGACTGAAGAAGTCCTTTGGATGAAAGACGAAACATTAAAAAAAAAAACCGTCCAGATTACCTGACTCTGTTGGGCATACTTTTAAGTCTATCTGGCCTTTTAATGGCTTTAAGTTTTTAGCTTGCCTTTACCTACTGTTAGCTTTGGATTTTTGCTATCTGTAGTTAGTGTTTAGCTACTTTTGGTTTTGGCTAACACTGGAACAGCCTGTTTATCAAGAACAAGGAAGAAAAAGTTTCCAAATACAGGCCAGACATCATTAAAGGAGCTCTAGGTTTGTCAAGAAAAATTAAAGCAGAAACATTAGATTTACTGCAGCATGAACGCTGACAGCCGAATGACAGCCGAATGACAGCTGAATGACAGCCGAATGACAGCCAGAATAAAATGAAGCTGAAACTGAAGTCAAAATGTTACCATGGTCCAAACAAAAGCTAAAATTAGCTAAACAGTAGTTAAATGCAAAAAGTAGCTAAACTAAATCTGAAAGCCACACTGATCAAATTGGAGCTAAAAGTTAATAAACAAAACAGTAGCTGAAAGCTAAATTTACCAAAACGATAGCTAACAGCTAAAACTAGCAAAGCATTATCTAAAAGTCAAAATCAGCAAACAGTAGCTAACAAATAAAATTAGCAAAATGGTATTTAACAGCTAAATTGATCAAAACAGTAGGTAAGTTAAACCTAGCATAACAGTAACTACAAGCTAAAATTAGCTAAACAATAGCTAAAACCTGAAATTAACAAAACAGTAGCTAAAAGTTTAAATGAGCAGCAGAAGCATAGCTGAAAGCTAAACCCAGCAGAACTCTACTCGACTCAGGTCTGTTAGGTCTGTTAGGGTTTGTTACCTGCCGAGCACGACTCCTGCTTCTCGATAAACTCAAAGTCGTTCCTCTCATATTTGGCTCTGATCCACTGCTCCCTCAGCAGCCTGGAGAACAAATAAAACTCAACCGTTAGCTTTTAATGTGAACTGCACACAAACACACAGAGATCTACTCGTGAACTGCACACACACAAACACACAGAGATCTACTCATGAACTGCACACACACAAACACAGAGAGATCTACTCATGAACTGCACACACACATACACACAGATCTACTCCTAACTGTACACACACAGAGATCTACTCATGAACTGCACACACACACACACACACACAGATCTACTCGTGAACTGTACACACACAGAGATCTACTCATGAACTGCACACACACACACACAGATCTACTCATGAACTGCACACACACACAAATATCTACTAATGAACTGCACACACACACAAATATCTACTCATGAACTACACACACA